CTGTGAAAATGTTTATACATTTACTGGTAGGTAAAGCTTCAAATGGAAAGATTGTCCCCCAAGTTGAGTAATATTCATTATTAGTAAACTCCTACTAGTGGTCTATTATCAATGCTGCATTCTGATTGGTTGCGCTACCACTAGGCTATATGTTGTAGCCCACTAGAAGCGAAAAGCAGCCACTTTTTGGCGGCAAAAACGGATTAAAGGCTAACTTTAACTAGCTAAAGTTGTTTTGTCTCGATATTTTTGACCAACTAGTTGGATTTTACTAAAAAAATTGTTCCTCTTGCCCTCATGGCCTCTGAGTCAATAGCTTATTCGGCCTTCGGCCTCATGGGCTAAAGACTCAGAGCCCATCGAGGGTCAAGGAATAATTATTGTTAAGTATATACACACTCAGTGATCTTGGTGATTTAAGAAATATGAATGGTTTGCTATCTCGGACTATTCAACAATATTCACCTCCTAGCGAGTAGATAATGTGTGACTTCAGTGTTTTTGCTTTTTTTTTAAAGTTTCGTTTTTCTTCAGACCTGTAACTCCATCCGAAATTCAATTTCAAATTTTATCTATACCAAACAGCAAATCGCATGGCTTATACTCCTGTCCTACTCAACTTCTTAAATACTCAAGCGAAGTCATATCTCCAGTTCTTTCAGATATTCTCAATACATCTGTCTCTCTTGGGGCTTACCCCCAAAAACTTAAAATATCTAAAATTATACCTATCTTCAAAGCTGACGACGAGACCGACACTTCTAATTATAGGCCAATTTCATTATTATCAAATTTCAATAGAATCTTCGAAAAAATTATGTACGACAGAATGAGAGACTTTATTGAAAAGCACAGCCTATTATATTCGTCTCAATATGGTTTTCGTCAAGCTCACTCAACCCAACATGCTATCCTTGATATGGTAGAAACTATACAAACCAATATGGACAAAAAACTCTTTTCATGTGGTGTTTTTATTGACTTAAAAAAAGCCTTTGACACTGTGAATCATACTATTTTACTTGATAAACTAAATTATTATGGCTTCCGTGGAATTGTCAATCAATGGTTTTCCTCTTATTTATCAAATCGCACACAAAGCACTGAAATCGGCTCTCATATATCTAGTAAACTAAATATCAATTGCGGCGTACCCCAAGGTTCTGTCCTAGGTCCACTTCTCTTCTTGCTTTATATAAATGACATCCAATATTGTTCAAGCAAACTCCAATTTTTCCTTTTTGCTGATGACACTAATGCTCTTTACGCTCATAAAGATTTAAAGACACTGGAACTAACAGTAAATGCAGAATTACACAACTTGTATAACTGGCTGACTTCAAACAAACTCTCCCTGAATATTAAAAAGTCAAACTATGTAATTTTTCGTCCATACCAAAAAAAACTCAACTAAAACTCAACTATGATCCCCAGGTCAATATTTTTGATAATGAAAGCAATAAAAAGGTTACCCTTGAACGCAAAAACTTTATTAAATATCTTGGACTGTTGATTGATGAAAATCTATCTTGGAAGACCCATATTCACTCTGTTGCAAATAAAATAAGTAAAACAATTGGGCTAATTGCGAGATTAAGGCATATTGTTCCCACTTGCACCCTCTTAAATATTTATCAGTCACTTACTACACCTTATCTAACTTATGGTCTTATCTCTTGGGCTAACGCGTGTAAAACTTTCCTTGACCAAATTCTCGTCCTTCAGAAACGCGCACTGCGTTTAATATATTTTGCTGAAACAAACGACCACGTCATACCTTTTTTTGTCAATGCAAAAATTCTACCTTTACAGTCTCTATATTATGAATCCGTTTGTAGTCTTATGTATGATGTAAATAAAAACCCTGCTCCGGTTAATATTTCGAAACTCTTCTCTCGAATTTCTAGTGTTCATACTTACAACACACGTGCCTCAACCTCTGAACATTTTTATACTAAAGAATCTCGACTCAATGTCAAACGACATGCTTTTTCGCGTGTTGGGGTCAACATTTGGAATGGGATACATCAAATTCTTAAAGAAAGACCGAAAAAAACTTTTAAAAGATCACTAAAAGAAATGCTACTCGATTTCCTTGAAACTGAAGACTCATATATTGATGTGGATACGATCATTGTGAAAATGAAAAAGTAATTCTCTTGTCCGTTATTTCCATTGTATTTTATTTTTAAAATTTCACTTTAATTATTGTCCTTGCATTTAAGTAGAATGTATCTATTTAATGTAAAAAGTACATACTTATATAACGCCTGATTTCTTTGTATTTGTCTAGTTTGTTGTAAATTATGTAGCCTGGCCTGCCTCGAATAGCCTCGCTAACTGCAGGCCATTCCCAATGTATCTCTTGCTATATTTTCAAATTTAAATAAAGTTGAAGTTGAAGTTACGAAAATTTCACAATAGCTGCGAGAGCAATTTTCGTGCCTTAGAAACACTGGGAGTCCAGACAGATTCATATGGAAGTCTGCTAATCCAAATACTACTAAAGAAATTACCAGAACAATTACATTATACAATATTAAGAACAAATCCTCTCACAGATTGTTCCCTAAATGATTTACCAACAGCACTTTGTCATGAAATAGACACAAGGGAAAAAAGTCAACTTACGCAAGAAAACGACAGAAGCTCAGATGTTAAGACGTTCTCGTACCCACAGTTGGCGCCTTACTCACAAACACTCAACCGCGCCTAATACACCCCCCACCAAAAAGCTTCAATACGAACGGAAGATTCAAGCCAAAACCATGCATATATTGCGATGGGAAACACCGTCACGACAAATGCTCGAAAGTAAAAACAACAACAGAGAGACGAACCACGAAAAAAAATGCTTTAACTGCCTCCCATCAAGCCACACAAGATATCAATGTCGCTCAAAAGGACGATGTCTAAATTGCGGACAAAAGCACCATACGTCGATCTGTGAACCAAGCGAGCCTAATCGGGATTCAAGCAAAAAACATGAAAACCAAGAAGACCCACAAAACAACAACATCGTCACATCCACAATGACAACTTTGGCAAGTACAACTACACATACAAATACACTAATGCAAAGTGCACGGGTCACAGCAAGCGGACCAACTACAAGATGCCAAGCGTGCATCCTTATCATTACCGGATCACAGAAGACATTCATTACGCAATGCCTGAAGAATACGCTACAGTTGAAAGCTGCTCGGAGTGAAATGGTAGACGTAACCACATTTGGTTTAACCAGAGGTACTCCAAAATCCTACGAAGTTGTAACACTTACCATAAACGCAGCAAATAAAGATGTCAAAATAACAGCCTTAGTCACGCCCATCATCTGCCCACCACTCTCAAGTACCCAACATACGGACATTCCTGTTGAATTCAAAGCTCTCACTTTCGCTGATCCACTAAAACCCGGAAGGTGAACGCACAATAGATATACTCATCGGAAACGACAACTACGCCCAGATCATTGGGGGAAACACAAAGAAATCGCAAGATCAGAGATGGATAGCCACACAAAGCAAGTTTGGATGGCTTCTCTCAGGACCGGTACCCAACAACGAATCCAGTACAGAAACTACACTCAGTACATTATGTCAAATGGTTGATGCACAGCCCACAAGAAACAAAGACCTCAACGCAACTTTCACTAGGTTTTGGGAAATAAACAAATCCGAGACGAATACGACGACCCTGAGGCAACAGACGTCCAGAAACATTTTCAAGATACTGTTGAATTCAACAACGTTACCGGCAGATATAATGTAACACTCCCATGGAAGGACAACAAGCAAAACCTACCAACAAACTTCACATTAACGAAAAAAGACTGAACAACCTGCAACATACCCTAAAAGGAAAACATCCAGAGCTTATTCACAAATACAACGACAAACTGCTCGATCAACTCAAGAGAGGATTTATAGAACAAGTCCTCGATCCGGACACACATCAAGGTGTCATACACTACATACCCCATTTTCCAGTCTCCAAGGAAAGCAGCACAACACCTATGAGAATCGTTTAAGACGCTTCAGCAAAAATATCATCTACGTCATTAAGCCTCAACAATTGCCTTCATACAGGGCCTAACCTCATACAAAGACTACAAAATATGTTACTCACCTTCAGATCACACAAGATAGCCTTCACGGCAGATGTCGAAAAGGCGTTCCAACAAACAGAGAAGAGTTGGGATTTACCATCACCCCTCGAAGATCAAGAAGACACCCCAAAGTAGTTCTTGCTGACTTAGACTTCGCAGATGACATAGCACTACTGTCGGATGAAATAGCTCAAGCTCAGGAATTCTTGCTAACAGTTGAAAAAGAGTGCAAGAAAGTTGGCCTTGTACTGAATACTAAGAAAACAAAATCAGTTGCTTATAACATTGATGATCCAACACCATTACATACATTTGATGGTACTTATCTGGAATGGAAGGATGACTTCAAATATTTAGGGTCATGGGTTGATAACTCAGAAAAAGACATCAGCATAAGGAAAGCGCAGGCTTGGAGAGCTTTGAATGGTATGACGAAAATATGGAAGTCCAATATGAGTAAAGATTTGAAAATCAGATTCTTCATAGCCACCATCGAATCAATCTTACTTTATGGGTGCGAGAGCTGGGCTCTGTCAAAAGCACAAGAAAAGTTGTTGGATGGAACATACACTAGGATGCTGCGAAAAGCTTTAAACATCCACTGGAGCAGCCACATACCAAACCAACAACTGTACGGAGATCTACCAGCAGTCAGCAACAAAATCGCCTCTCGTAGGCTACAACTTGCGGGACACTGTTATCGCCATCCAGAGCTAAGTACCCAGAAATTAGTCCCATGGGAGCCCACACATGGCCATCACGGGAGAGGAAGACCGAATACTACCTATATTGACACTCTTAAGAGGGATACTGGTGCATTTGAAGCAAGTGAGATTGCGGCACTGATGGCTGATAAGAGGCTGTGGAAAGATCTAGTGGTTGCCCGCCTTCGGGCGACCAAGTGAGTGTGAGTGCATATCCTGCATCCGAGTTTGTGTTAAATGGACTGCTTAATGAAGGAGAATACAAAATTTGGGCTCCAATTCCAAGAATGATTGAATTTATCTTTAATGGTGGTAGAGACGGATAGACAGAGGATATGGTAAAGAACTTTCAGCGCCTCTTGTGGAGATATCGTGTTCTAAAGGAAGAGCATCTTGGTACTCAAGCTTGTGTGATAAATTTACACAGCTTGACTCACTTCTCTTATAATATTCTTGTCCTCCAGTGTGACTTTAACTTCAGTTTTAATAGGAGCTCTCTGAAATTCAGCCACTGGGAAATCGCGACCAGGTCAAACAAAAAAGGAGAATAAGAGCCTTATATAACTGAGTATGTGCCACTGGCCTCTCAGAGACCCTGTCCATTATAGTGTATTATGTGCTCAATTACATGTATACCCCCACCATGGGATTTTATTGCATGGTCAATTCCACTTATTCTCCTAGAGAAACACCACACGCTCTTAAATGGGGCAACGCACAGCCTACACATAAATGAAAGGGTCTTTGTCTTTCTTCCACAGAGATTGTAGCAAGTTCTCTCCAAGGAGCTAAATACTTGGTCAAATTATGTGAGAATAGCCCTGATGCCACAAGAGTAAATCAAGGTGTCCTTATTCTTGGTTTGCACGTGACGTCAGAGACGTTTCCATATTTGGTCATCAGCCATGTTGGCGTCCCTTCACGGGCTTTTTTAAAGTGTTACATATGCCATCGCTAGAGGAGAGCAATGGAGTTTGCTGAAAATGAATTTATTTCGTCCGTTGACAAACTTAGTAGTAATGTCGATAAACTTTGTAGTAAGGTACCGATAATATCGGATTATTGCAAAAGCCTTGATGGAAATGTGAAACGAAGATATCTTGAAAAAGTCACTGTTATTGCTGTAGATCCCATTACTATTCCTGACGAACATTTCAGCTCCGAGTGTCTCCCTCCGGTGGAAGCCACGAATTTGTCGAGTTATTTAGTCCTTGAAACCAGCTTCTATAACCAAGTAGCAGTTCAAGGCATACAAGAGTTTGGAAGCTTTCAATTTCATGGTGTTGGGGTTCATTACCAGCGTCCAGGGCTGTGTTGTTCGTGAGAAGTACATTGTGACAGGAAAGGTGAAGCATTCACAGCAAATGAACGATCCTTTAATCTCAATTTGGGTCATTGCCGATAAAGATGGCATGATAAATTCAGCACATTGTTTGGGATGTAAAGTAGGGATGGCGGAGTCATGCTCCCACGTAGCGAGCGTGTTGTTTTATATTGAAGCTTGGACAAGAATACTTGGTAAATTGTCTTGTACACAAGTGAAATGCACGTGGCTTTTGCCCAGCTATGTAAAAGAAGTTCCTTATGCTAGAGTGCGAGACATACACGTCTCGTCGGCAAGGAAACTAAAAGCGCATTTGGATGCAAAAATTGACAGTATCGGTGAAAGGAGAGAAGTATGTGTAGCATCGCACGGAAGTAATCTATGAACAATTAAAGTCCCCACGCTCTCCGAGATGAACACCCTTTGTAGGCAGTTAACAAAGGCAAAGTAAAACCTGTGGCTTTGAGCCTCATAGAGCCCTACTCTGACCAGTTTGTGTTAAAAAGTAAACAAATATTAACAATCTCAGGCCTGTTTGACCCTGAGAACATGAGTCTGTCATATCAGGCCCATAACCAGGATTTTATGTGGGGGGTGCTAACGAGGCCAAAGTGGACCAAACTACCGAAATGTATTTTTTATTGTCCGATCCGTTTATTTAGGAAAGTAGCAATACATGAGAAATTGTAACGGCAAAGTATATACGGTAGGAACTGAATATTACATTTGTCGAATATTGTCATGACATCAGGAAATGACGATAAGAGACCAAGAGAAACATAAAATGTATTTTCCCTCTTTGTATCTCGAAAACTTCTATTTTGATGGTTTGGGATGCCTGTGGATTGCTGCTTTAGATTAACCCTCCCAGTCCCTCTCCAAATTGTTACTCTGTGTTCCCTCAATGGCTTTTTATTAAGCGAGTTTGTTTCATATCGAGGAACAGCCACCAAACCTCAGAGCATAATAATGGGATCAAGACTGGTGGACATTGTGAAAATAACTATGATTTACCTTCTATATCTCGCTGTAAAACTGTAGTCAACTGAGAAAGATCTGCAGTCATGGTTTCGGCTGGGCTGTCATCGCAGACTGCACTGTTTTTGTCAACGTCTGATGGCTCTTGACGGGGTACTTTACTGACCCATGTATCGAGAGACTGGGAAGATTTAGTTGCAGCCTTCCTCTTTCTATTTTCCTATTCTCTCCTACCCATAACGTTTTACACAAAAAACTAATTTTGCATCTTCGGACGTTCATGCGCTCGTACAAATAGAGAATACTACCCGACGCGTTACCTGGTTAGCGGACCTGTCTGACAAAAAACGTGAGATCGCGTCCGGCCCTTGTCATTGGCTCGCTCGTCGTAAACTCCCGTGCAAAGCGTGCACACGTTAATTTCATTATTCATTTAGATAAGCTCGGACATCTGTGCGCTCATTGAAATATTCTGAATGGCTCGGGCTACTAGAGTGGAGCTGGTTTTATTTTCCTAGTGAATACACTACTGCTTTTTCCATCACTGTTAAATTTGAAACTTCAGTTTAACCGACTGCACTCCTTAACTTGGATATTGAGTATCAAAATGCGGCCCTTAGGGCCTGTTGAGGGGGGTGCGAACGCACCCCGTGCACCCCCCTGATTACGAGCCTGCATATCCAGACTTACTAAAAAAATGCTAACTTGAAAATTACCCTGTCAAGTGAAGAAATTTGACAAATGGAAAAAGACACCCAAAACCAAGCCAAGGGATCTGGCTTTTTTACACACAGGGCTGGTCGAATTGGTGCATCATTGAGTGGAGCAGTGTGCCACACAAACCCAGCTCAGCCATCACAGTCACTGATTAAATCCATTTGCTATCCACATTTATTAAAAATCAACACAAAAGCAGTCACTTATGGGTGTAAACATGACGATGATGCAATCAAAACTTATGAAGAAATAATGGCAATGACTCACAATGATTTTAAAATTGCCAATTGTGGATTAGTTATAAACCAGGAGTATCCTTAGATTCATGCAACTCCGGACTTCTTGGTGTCATGTTCATGCTGTGGACTGGGATGTGGGGAGATTAAATGCCCCTTCTGCATAGACAAAGGTGACTTTGACAGCTATGTTTTAAGGAGGACTTCCTGTTTGGAAAAGGTTTGTGGGGAATTTTAGTTAAAAAGAACCCACAATTACTTTTTCCAAGTCCAACAACAATTGTTTACACTGCCAGAACGAAATTACAATGACTTTGTGGTTTGTGCTTTTGACACTTACCACTGTGCCAAAATTGTAAAGGAAAGGATTTATCGGGATCCTTGTCACTGGCAAGATGTTTTGCCAAAGCTAACCACTTTCTGGAGAGTATGCATTTTGCCCGAAATCTTAGGCAGATGGTAAACGCGAAAGTGTGACTTGTCTTTTAAAGTACAACAAATATTGGCTGGAATTTGTTTCTGCAGAATGCCCTCAGATGGAAACACTGTGAAATGCTGTAACCCTGACAGTCCATTTATTGAATTTCATCCGTCTTGTTAGGCCATTGCAACCCCACTTCCCAAGAGATGGTATTGTCCTCACTGCTGCAGGTTACCCCAGTTCAAGCGTTTGAGAGCTGCCCCAAAAACGAAGCACGGAAAGATTTCTTCAGCAATCAGACAAATTACTAGAGTAATTACTAGAGTGTCACGGTGGAAATTGTAAAAGTGGTAATCCTTTCCACTTGGCCTGTCTCGGTTACGAGAAAATGCCGAACAACAGCAAGACCACTTGGCAGTGTAACAACTGCAAGAAAATGAAGACAAAGTCAGTGGATGCCAGTTCCAATGCTTCAGCATTTACCTCTGTGGAAATCGCACAAGAAACTACTGCTTGTCCTTCTTGATCTCATGATGATCAGTCTGAGGCCAACGAACTAGTTAGTGTGAATGATTCTGACATTGAAGAGGAAAGTGGTGATGATGTTGAGGTTACCATGGTTACCACATGTGAATCTGAGAGACACGCCTCTCAAAAATCTGGATGAACAAGATTACCCGCTAATTAACGTCCCAAATGGTTGGCTTGATTGCTCAATTATTGTGCACAGGTTCTTTTACAGAAAATAAACCCTCTGATTGAAGGTTTTCAACGTCCAACACTAGGCTCAGTGCGAAAATTCAGCATAGTTTCTAGTGAATGTCTTCAAATATTACATACTGGAAGGGACCATTGGGTCTGTATAAGCACAATAGGATGCTCCCCTGGTATAGTTAAACTTTTTGACAGTCTTTTTCACAACATAATCTCACAAGAAGTTGAGGATCAGGCCCAAAGTTTATTAGCAGACAGTTTCAAAGAGCTCGTGTATGCACCTGTCCAGTAACAGACAAATGCTAGCGTTTGTGGATGATTATTTGCAATTGCTTTTCAACAAGTCTTGTGTTTGGATATGATCCTCAAGACATAACTTTTGACACCACGAGAATGCGTGCACATTTAGTGGCCTGCTTTAAAGCTGGTGCAATTACTCAATTTCCATGTTTGTGAAATCAATTAACCAGGATTTTCCAAAATTTTCATTTCAGAGGCCCTAAGAATCGTTTGACCAAAGGTTCAGAGTCCCACAGGTAACCATAGGGGTCCCACGGATACCATTATTTAAAATTTTAAGGAAAAGGAAGTAATCTTTCAGCATATGATTTATTACGTAAACTACCTCTTCATAATATGTCCATCTGAGAGGACCTGTTCTCCTTGCTGTTTTGTGTCACTTTCACTTTTTACAGCTAAAGAGCATGTCTCTGACTTGTATTCACATGTCATAGAAAACCCTGAGTTAACTATCTTAGAGCATGAGCTGTATATTAAGTATGTTGTCAGAAGTTTCATTTAGCTCCACTTTCTTATTCTGATTTTTGGTCCTGTAGTTCTCAGTTTTCAGGTACTAATTTCAATTCAGATGGCCACTTATTTTTCACTTCAGTTTGCAATCAGTAACAGTTAACTCAATTGAAGCTTGCTACGCCCCCAAAATTGTGCTGTTAGCAAGTGTGCATATATAACTTGTTAACACATCTTTACAGAGCCCAAACCAAGATTTTGTGTATGTATTAAAATGCAAGTTCACGCCCCAAGACTTTATTGTAGAAACAGATTCAAATAAGTGTTTATTTACATTTTTAACTCTCATACTTTTCTTTCTGACCTCAGTTCTTTTATACAATCTGTTACATGTTAGAGACAACTTGTTTAAAGTTAACATTACAATGATTGTTAAGAAATGGGCTATCAAATATACCTTCAACAAAATCACGCAAAAAATGTCAATGACAGTGTGAGTATAAGGGTGCAAATGCTCCTCTATCCACGTGGAACACATACAAAAACACAGTGCAGCAACTGCTGTGCAGAGTTACTTGAATGCTCTGAATTTTCAATAATTACCTTGAAACCACACAAAATTGTGAAAAAATATAACAGGGCAATCAATAATTTGAATTTCCAACAAAGTATCAATTTTGATTGGCAAATGAACAAAAAAATGTGTCTCTTTTTGCTGTAAATATTGCCTGTGATTGGCCAATGAATGTTGGGTGGCACCTGTTAAGTTCCTTGCACTTTAAGCCTTCAAGCCTCAATATCAACATGTATATTCGCCTTACTACCATCCCCATATTTCGTATTTATTCAAACATCAAGACATTTCATCTTTAGTGATCATTTCATTCATTCTCACTACCTGCATGTTTGATAGCAATGGTAATGTTAGGAGAAATTACCCGCTGGTCACTATTGGGGCTTAAAGGATTAACAATAACCCTAATGCATGTTTACGTCAGACCAGCAAATTTCACCACCAAACCTCATTTTGAAATTGCAAGGTTGCAAAGCTTTGCATGAATGAATTCCCAAGCCAGTAGAATTGAAAAGAATATGCACGCACAAAGAGTGCAAATGCAAAAAAATTGTGCTTACAAACAAGGCTTGGTGGTGAAATTTGCTTGTCTGATGTGATCATGCATAAGGGTCATTCCTTAAGAGCCATTTTCCGAGAAAATCGAAAATCGCAAGACACTCGTGAAAAAATCGAATTTTTTTTCTTTTGCCAAAACATCCCTTTTGGTACCATAATTCAAGAAAAAATAGTTTTGGGTTCAAGTGATTCATTGTACGGGAGAAATTACAAAAAGTTTGAAAAATCGATCTTTTGCTGGTTTTTCGCACTTGAAAACAACAGAATCTGACCTCAACTTCGAGAAAACGTTGAATGCATAAGAAACAATCCCTAACATCGAAACTTCAGCCGAGTATTATTTCATACTAACTCTTTAATTTTCTGAAAGAAAATTTGAAGAAAGAAGTTTTTAACATTTACAATCGACAAGTTTAAAAAGGTCAAATTTGTATCTCTGGAAATGTTAATAAATGAAGGCGAACTTTAACTGTTGTAAAAGGCCACTGGTATATGCCGCTTCCTTGTAAAACCCATATAGAATAAAACCTTGGCTATTGAACTAAATTACTGGAAAGTTTTAGCTCGGGAAATCCACCACAGTCCTCACACTAAAGTAAGCAATCTGAGTATTTGAGTAAATAAACCTTATGCAAATTAGACGGCCCGCTGAATGAATTCATATTTTTAACGGAAAGTTTTGTTGAACGAACAACTTACCATTGCTTGTTGTGTGAGAAGTTAAATTCATCTCTCAATCTGTTCACTTATGTCCAGGATCGATCTTGTTAGCAAAAATTTGCTAGCAAATTGCTTTCGCAATTGTCGCAAAAGAAATAATTGAGAAAATATTATGTCAGAAAATGACTTACAAATATCGCAAAAATAACAAATCTAACAAAAATCAAGACTAAGAAAAAAAAGAAGCCAAGAAGGACCCCGAAATGTCCGCAAATATCGCAAAAGTAACAAGGATCTTTCTTGCTAGGTGAAAACACCGGTGACAAACATCGCAAAAGTCGCAAAAATAACAAATCTAACAAGAAATCAAGACTTGGAAACAGAAGAAGCCAAGAAGGGCCCTGTAATGTCCGCAAATATCGGAAAAATCGCAAAAGTAACAAGGATTTTTCATGTTACCTAAAAACACCCAAGAAGGGCCCCGAAATGTCCGCAAATATCGCAAAAGTAACAAGGATCTTTCTTGCTAGGTGAAAACACCGGTGACAAACAAAAGTAACAAGGATCTTTCTTGCTAGGTGAAAACACCGGTGACAAACATCGCAAAAGTCGCAAAAATAACAAATCTAACAAGAAATCAAGACTTGGAAACAGAAGAAGCCAAGAAGGGCCCTGTAATGTCCGCAAATATCGCAAAAATCGCAAAAGTAACAAGGATTTTTCATGTTACCTAAAAACACCCAAGAAGGGCCCCGA